CGTTCTTTGTGTGTCTTGCTTTCTCAGCCTTCACTGTTCTGTAACCATGCTTCTTCTCCACTTACTAAACCTGTTTCTAATTCAGAAGGCCTTTTTTTGAGGTGGGAAATCTATACATTTCTGGCCAGAATAGCACTAGTTTTACCTTTCTGTAGGCTGAGGCCTTCAGAAACAACAGGATCTATATTGTCCTTCCTATATGCATAATTTCCATCTTGTGCGTACTCAATTTTTCTTAATATGCTGGAGGCAACCTACCTTCCTCCAGCACAGAGCAAATACTTCTGTTACGCTTCATTTCCAGTGCAAAGGCAGTCTTGGGGTCTTACCATGAGCACCCCTTGCTGGGCCAAAAATGCTCATCTTTGCTGACTTTCCCACTGAAATGCTTCAGGCCCACAAGTTGGCCCTCGTGAATTAACAGAGGAATTCAGTCCCCTGACCTCGGCAATACTATTTTGGCTGCTCAGGTATCCCAGGTATGCTGCCTTTGCATTATTTTCAGCACGCTCATGCAGTGTCACAAGCCACCGAATGAAGCTGGCTCTACCCACAAGCTCCAATTTCGCTATTACATAGGTACATGTTCTCCAAGTAATGGCTTTCATTTCTCCTTCAGCTGTTCTTTTCCTCTCTTTTACACGTAGGCACCCTTTTAAAAAGTGGCAGTGAGCAAATTCCTAGTGCAGCAGATGCGTCAACTTAATTTATATAGGGCAGAGAATCTCCTAGGTCTGTAACTCCTCTGCATCTCCATTGCGGCATGCAGACAGACGGAGAAAGAGACCTAGTCTTTGCCTCCCATTAAAGGAGATAAATTATCTTGCTGGCACACAAACAGTGCAGCTCAGGACAGACCAGCTTGGCTAGATTACTGGCTAGCCCTGCCAACAGCTAATTTGTTCAGAAAAAGGTGTGCGTAACCCTGTAGACAGCTGCAAAGCAGCCTCTGTGCTTTTTATTTCCCCTGCCCCCACCAGTTAGTGGTTGCACCGTTAATCCTATTTAATGTAACTATGGATAGACATGCAAACCTTTAATCCATCTCAAACCTACTAACCCTGCAGCCTGGCTTGGCTGGAGTTCCACCTTTTGAGCTGTACACAGGCATTAGGCAGCTTGCCTTCTTCTGCACTCCTTGTTTTTAATTGAATTGATGGGTCATCTTCTTTCAAAATTAGAAACTTCCTTTTGCTGTAACTTTTCTTCTGAGAGTTATTCAGGGTGCTGCTGCTGTGTGGGCTTTCTGCAATAACCAGTCCCTTACCCAAAGCGTTCAGGAGCCCATCAGTGTTCCACCAAAATGGAAGTCAGTCATGAAACAGAAACTAGAGACAGATTCCCAAAGGCTTTGAGGACCCTCCTCTCCTGGCTTCCCCCCACAGCTTTTTCGGCCTTTTAAGTCTTGTTTGCCTGCGCAGGTTTTACAGTCTGTCTTTGTTCATTGGCAGCCAGGTTTGTTACTGCTATGTGATTTCAGAGGCAAGAAGTTGGTTAGTGTCCTGAACAAACATGTTTTCTTGGTTTACATTTGCAGCTCTCCCCTCTCCTGACACACATGTAACACTGATATTAGTTGTTGTTGCTCTCTACGCTGAAGACCTAAAGACTGGCTGACACAGCAGAGACTGTATGGGCTTACATTAGCTTGTACCCTTAAGAACAAATTTTCCTGTTTGCTTTCCATTCACATAATGAGGGAGCAACAGGCCATTAACTGGCCTGATGGATCTTACTCACAATAAGCTAGCTCAACACAGAGTGTCTGGCCTCCTCTAAACAGTTTCCCTGGAAAGGTTCTACCACATTAATGACACTCCAGAGCTTTGATTTGCATTTATATTAAAGCCGCTGCTGCCACCTCCTGTTCTGACTCCCTGCTGCGTGTGGGTGGGGATGCACTGTAAGATGGCACCCTCTTCCTTCTTCCCTAGCTCATCTACCTCTGCTTTCTGCTGCAGGATGCTCAGCTGGTGTCGCAGAGCTGGGAAGAGAGCCAGCAGCCCGATCAGCTCAGCCAGCATGTGGCCCTCACCCGGCAGCAGCAGGACACCTCCCTGTGCCACCGCTCGCAGCGGCACAGGAGAGAAACGCCATCCATGTAGGTCCGAGGGTTGCAGGCTGCAGCTTCCAGCGTGGGAACCAGAGGGTGGAGGCCGAAGAGGAACAGCAACTATAGCAGCTGCTCCTTCCCTAACCCTCTCTTCTCTCTTTCGTGGAGCAGCAAGGTCTGGCTGCAAGGAACAGAGAGATGGCACAAGTTGCTTGAAGATAGCCACCTTCTGGGGTCCCAGCAGAGCTGAGGAGCTGGAATGCTCTAGGCATGACTAGACCATAACAGACAGTTGGGAATGTAAGAAGGTGCTTAGCTTTAGCTTACCACCAGGGATGTGCGTGCAACGGGCTGGTTTATTTACCCCCCTAGTTAGAAGACATTGCCCTTAGGCACCAATCCTGTCCTTACCGACCCAGTGTGCAGGTGGCACCGCTGTCCTTTCGTAGGAGCTCCTGCTCTGCTAGAGAAGGGGAAAATCAAGGCTAGAACATGCATCTTTTTGCCCTTGCAGAAGATGGTTTATCTGGAGCCACACGTTCACTTCTGCTTGCTTTTCCTTCCTCATGCAAAATAGTGTTCAGTTTATTTAAGGACACTGTTGGCTGTACAACCAAGTTTGATTTCAGATGTCAAAATCCAGTCAGGTAGCTTTACCCTCATTGCATACAGCCACAAGAAGTATGGTTCATTACCTGTGTTGGCCCTAATAGTCTTTCCAGCCAGTAATGACAGCTGCCATCCAACTTTAAAACTCCACAGACCTGTGTGTTATTATCCTTGGGGAAAACTGCTCTGGGCCCCACTTTAAAGTTCCTCATTAACTTTGAGAGAACAGTTTTCCTGTTTGCTTACATTTGCAAGCGAACAAGCTGGGTTTTGTACAAAGAGGGTGAACCGCATTACCCTAGTGATCCTTTCTGGGGCAACAAAGGATGGTTTTGCTTTCCTCATCCTGCAGAGGAAGGGCCCAGGAGGTGAACAACCACAGAAACAAGGGTGCGTAGGAAGAACTGGTAGAGGAGGCGCAGGGGGTGACCCGAAAGACCTCTGTAAAGGAACTGCCAAGTACTGAAGATGAGGGCTTGAAACAAAATAACACCCCAGAAATCTACCTCTTTCAAAACTCAAGCTGTGGCACACCCAGCTTCTTCACACTGTTAATTGTCTCTACAACAGCTCCACATAGAGCTGCGTGTTAGACCAGCTCACGCACACTGCAGCGGACACAGAGCGCAGAGGTTTTTAAGGAGGCATGTGCTGCATACACATTTTGCTCAACTACTTTTTCAAACAATAGTATTTCCATTCTTTTAAGAAGCAGTCATTCTCTTTTGTTTTTTTTCAATTTCAGGAGCAAGAACAAACTGAAAAAGAAGGGAACTGGTCTTTGAACAGTTCTATATTTACCATTTTTGGCTGCAGATAGTTGAACCTGATCCTATTACAAGAAATCCCCTCCCACATGCTATTATACAATTTCCAGTACACACACTTCAGTATGTTCACTATTTCCCCTGTCTGGACCTCATACATCTGGGTGACCTTCCCTCCAATGCAGACAAGAGGGGAAGAACCTAACAGAGGAAGCACAAACTTAAAGAGGATGGCACCAGGAATAGTCATCAGAGGGCAGGGAAAGGATACCAAATTCCCATCAGCGCCGACATCTAAGCAGCCCAGGTCAGCCAAGCCCCTTGTAATCAGCTCCTGAGTTTAACTAAAGCTTGGCTTTAGTCCTTCTCCTTACCCCCTTGTTTTCCAAAGGGAACACACTTCCCATCTTCTTAGGTAAGGGGCAGGAAAGGGCAGTGGCAGGAGCTCCCCAGAAGGACACATACAGAGGTTTAGAGAGGAGGTGTCTGGAACAGCACTCCCACCTGCTGGGCCCTCTATTGGTTGCAGCCGGGAATTTAGCAGGAGTCTTTAAAAGAAGGATGTGGAGAAGACAATGAATGTCACAGCAATCTGAAACTTCAGCACCACAACTGCTGGCTCAGAAGGTTTTGTCTTCATGCCGAGGCTAACATCCGGGTCACAACCCCTCCTGGCTACAGGAGCTGGCAGCGCCCAGCCACTGTGCCCTCCTGGCGTGGCTGAACCCGAGTGGGAGGCTCAGGTGTAAGCATACAAAGGACAACTTTCTCCATGCAAAGCCTCTTCCTTGGAGAGGGGAGAGCATGAGCAGGCAGAACAGAAGAGTCATCTCCGTTCCAACCTGCACTCTTTGAATACCTGAGCATGTCAGAGAGAAGATTAAATATGCGTGTCAGCATGAATCAGAGAGGCCATTCACACAACCGAGTCATCCTGAAGACAAGATGCTTGGATCAGAACAGTGACATGGTTTGTCTTCACTAATCATAGCCTGTCATAATAATTGCTATTACAAAGGCAAAGAGAGGCAGTGTCTGCCACAATTATTTAATCAAACAACATATAAAAAGTTTTTGCAGTGACTGAAAAACCTGACAGAGGCTGTAATAAGAACAAAACCTGCAGGTTTGAGCAATCTTTCAAAGCATCCTTCCGTTCCAGTGATTCATTACTGCTGGTCTAAAACATTTCCCCATTCAGATACAGTACTTTAAATGCTCCCTGCCAAATAACACAGGTAGCAGAAGCCTTATGTCCTGAGGAAGGGCAACAAGACTTCTATTTGGCTTGGTCCACCCTTCTACATCAAAAATGCAAGACATGCTGGCTGGAGGGAGATAATTGTAAGGACAATGCATCTCAGAGCCAAGACAACCTCTGTGGCTCTAGCTGGCCGGTAACAAGTTCGGCACAGATGCAGAGCCACTCCGCAAATGTGACATTAAAGCACCTGCTGATAGAGGCACACCTCCAGTGTGCCATCTCAAACATGCCGAGGAAATGGCCAATCCTGTGTCCAGAACACTCAGCTGCAGAAAGACTGGATCTGTGAGAATCCCTGTCACATTGTTTATGGTCTCCCAAAGTATTCTCTTTCAAATCTACGGAAATCTTCCTCAGTAAAGACAGTGCCCTCAGGTTTCTTCTTTACTGCCGTCTTTGGAGGCTGATCTTTGGACTTCCTGCCTCTGTTCTGAGCAAGAACCTTCAGACAATAAAAAAGGAAAAAGCAGTCATTGTTATGCAGACCAAACCACAAAATGGTGATTTTCAAGCTCACCTGCAGCACCCCTGCTATTCTGCTGGTACCCCGCTATATCCTGGGAATGCCTCCAAAAAAAAAAAGTGAGAGGCAATCACTGATGTTAACCAAAGGAGGTCACTGGGACAACAGCAGATACCAACTTACTATTTGGAGCCAAATATGAAAACTACTCTCTGGTAACTGTCAAAGAGATAGAAGCACTGATTTCAATTCAGACATTTCTGAAACTGTGACCTCCTTTTATCTTTTTTCTCCACAAGACCACCTGAAAACCCAACAAGTTGGTGGAATTCCCTCAGCATTTTCTAATGCACCATCACCTCCTTTCACAACCTCCAGCCTAAGAAACACTGGCCTAAACTACTTGGTTTGCTTATGTAAGTTAAAAGCCCATATCTCATTAAAATAGATCAAGATTTTAGCAGTATCAGCTACTCTCCTCTTCAAATCATTACACGGGACTATGTTTCGGGGAAGACCACTGGCTAAATTCTCAGGTTATGAGAAACACCATTCAAGATGCTATGAAATTCCTATTACATAAGCCAGCAGCACATCTGGTTCCTTCCTAAACAGCCTTCAGCTACAGAGAAGGACAAATCAATCAACAGTAAGTAGAAGGTCTGAACAGGGTTTCTTTGCCAGCTGAAGCTATGAGGTATCTTTGGTAATTAAGCAAAGCGAACAGTTGTTAGTAGATTTTAACTAGTATCAGAGAACATTCATAGAAGGCAACATATCAACAAGAGTTTAAAGCTTAATAAGTTGCTTTGCAAGTGCACACAGAAATTCCTCAAGGTTACTTCCAAACAGAAACTTGACTTAACTCCTTTACACAGGATCTTGGCTGAAAGACCTGGGGATGATTCCCATTCACCCACACTCCTCAGCAGCAGCAGACCCCCAGAGGAAGAAGTGACAGTCTTACTTGTTCTGTGATGGCTTTGTCTGCAACAAATCGTCCCTTCAACATGTACTTCAGGTTTGCTGTCAAATGATTCACGGGCTTCTTCTTGTGATACTCCTCTAGGTCAGAGCAGAGTGGGAGAAAACACAACAGATGCTCATCCAGGCAGCATGCAAGGCGAGACACAGTGGGATCAGCTAGGGCCCGGGAGAAAGAGACACCACTGCAGCCCAGGGATAGGCGTGCTTCTACAGATCAGGCTGTGTTTAAGCGGGGGATACCAGAAGGGCACTCAGGAGGACGGGAAGGAATGGACACAAGCAGCCGGGGAGGGGGTCTGCGGGCACCACGAGGGGACCCGGTGCGAGAGCTGTGGAGGGCGGCAAAGTTGCTTCCCCTCGCCCTCCGCGGAGCCGGGACTCACCTATCGCTGACTTGACGACTCTGCCCTTGACCGTGGACTTGTTCCTCCCGGGCTGCGGCGCCGCCTTCCTCCGCCTTCCAGCGCCCG